CCTTCCTTCCTTCCTTCCTTCCTTCCTTCCTTCCTTCCTTCCTTCCTCTCTCTTTCTCTCTCTCTCTCTCTCTTTCTTTCTTTCTTTCTCTGGTCCGCAGTACCATGCTCTCGGTTTGCTTTACCATCTGAGAAAAAACGACCGACTCGCCGTCTCCAAGATGCTGAACAAATTCACCAGATCCGGATTGAAGTCCCAGTTTGCCTACTGCATGCTGATCCGGATTGCCAGCCGGCTGCTGAAGGAGTCTGAGGAGGGGTAAAGACCCACCTGGGGGAAGGGGTTGTCGGCAGGGGGGTCCAGAAGAGCATCTGGAAGGGCTCTAGGTTCCACGAGGGAGGCTGCTGGTTTTGTGGCAGGTTTATATGATGGTTCGCCTACGGACAGAATCTTGCCACGCTAAAGCAATCGTCTGAATAACTAAACCGGTAGTCCTCACTGGCAACCACAACTGAGTCCGGCATTGTCAGAAGGTTGCAAAAGGGGGGATCACAGGAGCCCGGGACAGCGCTACCGTCATAAATACAGGTAGTCCTTGACTTACAGCCATTCATTGACTGATGATTCAAAATTACAACGTGTTGTGTCCTGTCAGAGACCGGCTCCTCAAAGCAGCCAAATCGGAGGAGGAGGAAAAGGTGTGGGGGGTCAGGATCAGCATCGGGAGCTTTGAGAGGGGGAAGAGAGAATGGAGCTGGCAGAGAGAGGCGGAGCCTGGGCCGCCCGTCATCCCTCAGGTGGAGAGTCAACAGCCCCCCCAGGTCTGGAGGTGGCTGATGAGGTAGAGGAGGAACAGCTGAGACCGGTGCCTGACGTGTGGATGTGCAGAAGGCAGAGAGGAGAGGAGAGCAGTGGAAATCTATGGGCCGGCCCTCGGGACGGAAGAGCTACCACTGCTAGCAAGGCCCTATTCTAGCTCTGGGGATAAAAGGCAGGGGGCGGAGATGAATACATGTGACAGACAACTATTCATCTCCCTGCCGGACGGACTTGTTAGCCTGCGGTGAGAGAGAAACTTTTTGCCGAGGAGAGGAGAGCAGTGGTAATCTATGGGCCGGCCCTCGGGACGGAAGAGCCACCGCTGCTAGCGAAGCCCCACCCGAGCTCTGGGGAATAAAACGCAGGAGGTGGAGATGAATAGATTTGACAGGCGACTATTCATGTCTGTGCTGGACAGGCTAGTTAGCCTGCGTTGAGAGAGAAACTTTTTTGCTGGGGTTGCCGGCGCTCCTCATAAAGGAATCGTCGATTGATTACAGAGGGCTTGGCGCATTTGGGGAGTTGGGTCAGAACACAGCGGCACTGAAAAAAAGGGACTTAGGACCGTTTTTCACACTTACGACCGTGGCAGCGTCCCCACAGCCTTGTGATCAAAATTCAGGTGGTTGGCAACCGGTTCATATTTATGACGGATGCCAGGTCCCCGGCGGGGTGGGGGGGGTGGATGTCACGCGATCCCCTCTTTCGAACTTCCGACAAGCCAAATCAACAGGGAAGCCAGATTCGATTCACAACCGTGTGACCAACTTAACCAATGCAATGATTGGCTTCCCCCGCGGCAGCAAGAGAAGTTGTAAAATGGGGCAAAACTCACTTAACAACTGCCTCTCTTAACAAGGATGAATTTTGGGCTCCATGGTGGTTGTAACTCGAGGAATACCTGTAGAAGCCAGTTGCCAAGTATCCTAATTTTGATCACATGTCCATGGGCGGGGGGGGGGGGCGGGAGCTGCAGCAGTCGCAAGTGTGAAAAACAATCGTAAGTCACTTTCAGGGCAGTTGTAAGTTTGACCTGTCACTAAATGAATGGTTGTAAATCGAGAACTACCTGCAGATATCCCTTGTGAGCTGCTAGGGAGGAGCCATTGTAACCCTCTCCTTGCCCACCAGATGTTCTGACCGAGGCTTCCCAAAATCACAAAGCAGACGCCTCGTCCCGACAAAGCCCCTTTTAGTTAGGCTAATGTGAATTCCTCTCATTCCCATCCAGCAAAGTCCAGGCAAATCGCCTTTCCTGAGATTTCACAACGACAGACCTTTATCAAGCTTGGAGAGTTGCCAGGCCGATAGCTTCCAAACGCCGTGCTGTAGCAGCAATTACTTGGCAAGAAGTCAGGAGCAGATCTTCGCTCCCCTTTCGCTCCTCTTTATTCCCTCTGGGAAGGGCCAATCACCGTCCACCTGTATCCTTACGCCCTTGTTCCTTGCCGTTCCCTTCGTCTGGCAGCTCTGTGCATGTGCACCCTGGGAACAGGCTCCAGCTGTTCTTCTTCCCCACTGATCTCCGACTCTGAAGGCTGCTGATAGCTGTTTGACAGCCATGGCCCCATCTCTTGTCTCTGACGCAGAGCCCTCGTCGGAGCCTTCCCCAGACTCCGGGACTGGCCCAGGTTCCTCCCCAACCTCCTCACTGTCCGAGTTTTCTGCCAGGTCTGCTGGCCGCTGGCAGGCCACAACCCCAGACATACTGAGCTTCATTTCTTCCTTTTCCCTCTGGGAAGCTACCCCCTCCCTACTGGGAATCCAGACTACAATCCACCACATCAGCTGGGATATTAGTGGTGACGTCGCACAGCCTGTACAAGCAGCCGTCTCTTTTCTCGGCAGGCACGACAACCCCCTCTTCGACTTCATCGAAAGCTGCCTGCGTAACAAACACGAGATGGTGATTTACGAGGCTGCCTCGGCTATCATCCACCTCCCCAATTGCACGGCCCGGGAACTGGCTCCGGCAGTCTCAGGTGAGTGCAACATGGGAATCCGTCCTTTCGCTTCAGACCCCGGAGTCCCAGGTGGACAAAGCTATCCGTCACCTGGGAAATCTTATTTATTCATTTTATCTATAAAACCGTTGTGGCCACTGGTTTTTTTTTTTTAATCCACCCTACACAGGTAGACCTCGACTTACGACCACCATTCAGCCCAGAATTTATGTTGCTAAGTGAGACATATTTTAAGCGAGCTTGGCCCCCCGTTTTACGGCTTTTCTTGCCACAGACGTTAAGCGAATCTTGGCAGTTAGGAACTTAGGAACACGGTTGCTAAGTGAATTTGGCTGTCCCTGTTGACTTCACTCATTGGAAGATCGCCAGAGGGGATCACGTGACCCCGGGACACTGCAAACCGTCATAAATATGAGTCCGTTGTTAAGCATCTGTATATCACGCAGCCATGCGGATGCTGCAACGGTCATAAGTGTGAAAAACCGGTCCTAAGTCACCTTTTTCAGTGCTGTTGTAACTTGGAACGGTCACTTGGAATTCTGGGAGTTGGAGCGAACTGTTGTACGTCGAGGAACTACCTGTGATAAAAGCCTATTTTGTTATTTTAAAAAATATCCACCCCACCTGGGTAGCAACCACACATCAGGTAGACGTCTCTGAGAAAAGACGGTCATTCAAAGGACCCAGCCCCAAACATGAAGGATTTTAAAGATGAGTCCCTGACAAAGTGGATTTGGTACAAGAAGAGCGAGATTTAATGGTCAAACAATACATTTTATACCCTCTACACTAGTGATGGCTAACCTATGACACGCGTGTCACTCGTGACACGCCGAGGCACTTTGACTGACACGCCTGTTGGTGTGGGGAAAACCTGCACATTGAGAGGCTGCCTGTGCTCTGCTCCAATCCCCGCTCCCTGCTTGTTGCGTGGAGGCGTGGTGTCACCGCTGCCGCAAGATCTTTGCAGCGGAGAACCAGTTTTAACCGCCATAAACTAAGGTTTGTCAGTTTCATTACCTCAGGAACGCTACAGGAGGAAAGGAGATCCGTGAGGTTCACAGCCCTGTAAGGTGGCCTTCCGATCCCCACATCCTGCACCTGCAGCCCTGAGACCAGGGAGATGAGTTTCACAGCCCTGTGTGATCACCCCCAGCCCGGTCCCTGTCATAAACCAAATTATTGATATTTCTTGAAGTGACACACCACCCGAGGAAGGCTACACTTTTTCCTGATTTTCGACACACCAAGCTGAAAAGGTTAGCCATCACTGCTCTACACAATGCACGCCATGCCTAAGAAGCCCTTCTCCGCCCCCTTATTATCTCTACGTCATATGATAAGGTAAAGGGTCCGCTTGACGGTTTCTTCCTGGGCACCAGATATTTTATTTACTTGTAGTTTCGCCTTAAGTAGATGTTCCTCTTTTCTAAGAAGCCTGCAACTATCCAGCACGTCCTGTTTAACTGAACATACTTTGTGGGTTAGGATACAGCAAAAAAAAAAAGGCAACACAGCTTAATGATGCGCTTCATATTTCTAATTCTATTATAAAAGAGTAACTTAATATTTAGTTCCTTCAATATGAACGGGATGCACTTTCGACTCCAAACTGCCGCACTCCTCTTTCGAACGCCTTTCCCCCCCCTTTTCTGTTGGCAACTATAAAACGGACAGAGAAATGTTTTATGAGTTGACAGAAGGGGTCTGATTTGAGTTCTGACCAAGGTTTCCTGAGACTATAATTTCAGCCCACGCTCAGTCCAAACAACTCTTGTTTGATTTCAACGCTGGGAATTATGTTCATTCCCAGCCGGTAATGAGTCCCAAACAGTTCCTCGAGATAAGCACCCACCTCTTTCTCTCCTTTGAATTGCTGCCCACAACTAGAGTGCCAAATGAACTGCAAAAAAAACCAACCGAAGTACAAAGTCCACACAGAGCTTCAAGGTTTAATCCGAGCAGAATGAACGACTTTGCTTCCTGCAAAGGTTTCTCTACCTTTGCCTGTCCTTTATACCTTATGGGAGGGACAATCACCTCCAAGCCTTACTCCCAAATTGCCCCTTTTGTCTTAGCTGCTCTTGCCTTCTAGCAGCTCTGCGCAAGCGCGCGCTGGGAACAGGCTCCCCCTGTTCCTCTTCCTCACTGCTGTCAGATTATGGAGGCTCTGGACTCAGCACCCCACTCCCAGATGGTCTTGGCCCCATCTCTGCGTCAGACGCAGGACCGTCGTCCGAGTCCTCTCCAGGCTCCCAGACTGGTCCCCTTTCTCCCCCACTGTCCGATGTTGCTGCCGTCCGCACAGGCTGCCAGCGAACCACAACAATTTGGGTCACAAATATGCTAACGGATGAGCTGTCCGTCAAGTTTGTGATCCCCTCCCCTCCTCGCACGGTGTGACAAAATTGTGCGACCAAACTCCAAATTGTCCGTTTTTGCTTCTCCTTTCAGTGCTTCAACTCTTCTGCAGTTCGCCGAAGCCTGTTCTGAGATACGCGGCGGTCAGGACCCTCAATAAGGTAAGCGCTATCAGAGGGGGCCCCGTCTGTCACAGTGGAACCTCAACTTACGACCGCAACTGAGCCC